GAGGGAGGGAGGGAGAGAAGGAGGGGCAAGCGTGGCAAGAGTTCCAAGATTTCCAATCAACGAGGTGTACTTCGTCTCCAAGCAAGTCTGCGCAAAGCGAGAGAGAGAGAGAGAGAGAGAGAGAGAGAGAAGGAGGGGCAAGCGTGGCAAGAATTCCAATCAACGAGGTGTACTTCGTCTCCAAGCCTTCAAGCATGGCAAGAATTCCAATCAACGAGGTGTACTTCGTTTCGATCAACGAGGTGTACTGCGTCTCCAAGCATGTCAAGAATGTGACACCCTACCTACTGTAGAGTCAGGAGCTCGGTCGACTACCTTTGCCGAGTGTTGCCGATGACCGCCAGAGGTCAGACTGACATGGGGTTCAGCATCACTAGACAAAGTGTCCGCCGCAACCTCCTGCCGAGACGAAAGCGACGGAGCCAAAACCGAAGAAGCCGTCGAAGCAGGAGTTGAGAGGCTCGCTGTAGGAGATGAGATGGCCAAAGTTCTCGAAGGCGAGTCTTGATCGAGCATGTCAAGAATTCCAATCAACGCGGTGTACTTCGTCGTCAAGCATGTCAAAATCCCAATCAACGAGGTATACTTCGTCTCCAAGCATGTCAAGAATTCCAATCAACGAGGTGTACTTCGTATCTAAGCATGGCAAGAATTCCAATCAACGAGGTGTACTCGTCTCCAAGCATGGCAAGAATGGCAAGAATTCCAATCAACGAGGTGTACTTCGTCTCCAAGCATGTCAAGAATTCCAATCAACGAGGTGTACTTCGTCTCCATGAGTGGTGAGGAGAGAGAGAGGAATGATGTGGTGAGGAGAGTGAGTGGAGTGGATGGAAAGGAATGTGAGGAGATTGGTGTGTGAACAACAAGGTGTACTGCGTCTCCAAACATGTCAAGAATTCCAACGAGGTGTACTTGGTCTTGAAGCATATGACGATGCGGAGCTCTCCATCATGAACAAGTAAAATTGGAAAAATTGGACAAAGGAGACAGGAGAAAGGAGACATCTCTGAGCATGAGTCCTGGATGAAGATCAAGAACCGAAGTGCCACCCGATCTGGTAATCGAAGAAGAGGTCGTAATAAGGTGGGGGAGAGGTGTGGTGGTCAAAAGTGTGGTGAGGTCTGCCCTCGAAAACCACAATACCGTCAACAAGAATTCCAACGAGGTGTACTTCGTCTCCAAGCAAGCTTGCGCAA